CGCTAGACACTGGGTAATCCAGACGTACATCAACGAGGACACTCGGTAATCTGGACATATCTCAACTAGGACACTAAAAGTGTGGACGCACCTCCGCTAGACACTGGGTAATCCAGACGTACATCAACGAGGACACTCGGTAATCTGGACATATCTCAACTAGGACACTCGGTAATCTGGACGCCCCTCCGCTAGACACTGGGTAATCCAGACGTACATCAACGAGGACACTCGGTAATCTGGACACATCTCAACTAGGACACTCGGTAATCTGGACGCCCCTCCGCTAGACACTGGGTAATCCAGACGTACATCAACGAGGACACTCGGTAATCTGGACATATCTCAACTAGGACACTCGGTAATCTGGACCCCCCTCCGCTAGACACTCGGTAATCCAGACGTACATCAACGAGGACACTCGGTAATCTGGACATATCTCAACTAGGACACTCGGTAATCTGGACGCCCCTCCGCTAGACACTGGGTAATCCAGACGTACATCAACGAGGACACTCGTAATCTGGACATTTCTCAACTAGGACACTAAAAGTGTGGACGCACCTCCGCTAGACACTGGGTAATCCAGACGTACATCAACGAGGACACTCGGTAATCTGGACATATCTCAACTAGGACACTCGGTAATCTGGACGCCCCTCCGCTAGACACTGGGTAATCCAGACGTACATCAACGAGGACACTCGTAATCTGGACATTTCTCAACTAGGACACTAAAAGTCCTGACGCACCTCCGCTAGACACTGGGTAATCCAGACGTACATCAACGAGGACACTCGGTAATCTGGACATACATGAACTAGGACTGCAGCAATGGCGTCAGGACAGCAGCAACAGCGGATGCATGATGTTACGACATCTCCGCCACTTCCGTGGGTCTGTCTTGTCTGACCTATGAACATCAGCCTCATGATGGCATCTCAGAAGTATCTCTGAAACGTCGTCACAAAGAATAAAAGAAGTTGTTATCCATATTAAAAAGTGTCATGTATTCATGGTCAGGTATAGCTGAACCCGCCCGTAGGATGCGATATGGACAGGTACAGCTGAACCCATCTGTAACCATGACGACGTGGACAGGTATAGCTGAACCCGCCTGTAACAATGGCGGCATGGACAGGTATAGCTGAACCCGCCTGTAACAATGGCGGCATGGACAGGTATAGCTGAACCCGTCTGTAGGATGGCGACATGGACAGGTATAGCTGATACCGCCTGTAGGATTGCGACATGGATAGGTATCGCTGAACCCGCCTGTAACCATGGTGACATGGACAGGTATAGCTGAACCCGCCTGTAGGCTGGCGACATGGACAGGTATAAAAGAACTCGCCTGTAGGATGGTGACGTTGACAGGCATAGCTGAACTCTCCGTGTAACCATGACGACATGGACAGGTATAGCTGAACCCGTCTTTAGGATGGCGACATGATCAAGTATGACTGAACGCATCTGTAACTATGACGACGTGGACAGGTAAAGCTGAACCCGCCTGGAGGATGGCGACGTGGACAGGTGTTGCTGACCCTGATGCAAAGAAAGGTTTATAAGGAAAGTCTAAAGCATTGTATAACAATTCACTCACTTCTTTCGCTTTTGGTGCAATTTGAATATATCTGTAGATTCATATATTTGGAAAACATCCAAACATGGTTTGAATAAAAAAGTACATATTATCTCTCTCTTCACAATCTGACGTCTGGAGTTGGGGCCTCATGTCATGTACAGTCTGGAGTCATGTACAGTCTGGAGTCATGGACAGTCTGGAGTCATGGACAGTCTGGAGTCATGGACAGTCTGGAGTCATGGACAGTCTGGAGTCATGTACAGTCTGGAGTCATGTACAGTCTGGAGTCATGGACAGTCTGGAGTCACGGACAGTCTGGAGTCATGGACAGTCTGGAGTCATGGACAGTCTGGAGTCATGTACAGTCTGGAGTCATGTACAGTCTGGAGTCGGGGACAGTCTGGAGTCGGGGACAGTCTGGAGTCATGTACAGTCTGGAGTCATGGACAGTCTGGAGTCATGGACAGTCTGGAGTCATGGACAGTCTGGAGTCATGTACAGTCTGGAGTCATGTACAGTCTGGAGTCATGTACAGTCTGGAGTCACGGACAGTCTGGAGTCATGGACAGTCTGATGTCATGGACAGTCTGGAGTCATGGACAGTCTGGAGTCATGTACAGTCTGGAGTCATGTACAGTCTGGAGTCATGGACAGTCTGGAGTCATGGACAGTCTGGAGTCATGTACAGTCTGGAGTCATGGACAGTCTGGAGTCATGTACAGTCTGGAGTCATGGACAGTCTGGAGTCACGGACAGTCTGGAGTCATGGACAGTCTGGAGTCATGGACAGTCTGGAGTCAAGGACAGTCTGGAGTCGGGGTTTGATGTCACGGACAGTCTGGAGTCATGGACAGTCTGGAGTCATGTACAGTCTGGAGTCACGGACAGTCTTGAGTCACGGTGGAGTCATGGACAGTCTGGAGTCATGGACAGTCTGGAGTCACGGACAGTCTGGAGTCGGGGTTTGATGTCATGGACAGTCTGGAGTCATGGACAGTCTGGAGTCACGGACAGTCTGGAGTCGGGGTTTGATGTCACGGACAGTCTGGAGTCGGGGTTTGATGTCATGTTACACATCAGACAGTTTGTGTCTGTGAGGAAAGTTGGGCTCGCCAAGTTGGATTATAGTCTAAGGGAAGTAACTCTGCAGTACACACGTATGACCCACAGACGAGGATTTTATGTATACATTGCATGACATAGTTAACAACCCGGTATAGGAAACTGTTCCCATGTGTCCAAACAACATTACTTCACTGTTTAAATTCTCGTGTGGATACACGGAGATGTTCCGCCATGGTTGTGCAAGGGGCCAACAATACTTCTCTCAAAGAAAGGTGATCCTATTTACTTGTCTGAATACGCAGTACAAAATATTTAAAGAGTGTCTTACAGATCTTGTGTCATCATACTGCGCTTCCAATGACATTATTAACATGGAGCAGAAAGCAGCCAGAAAGGGATGTTGGGGTTGTAAGGATCAATTGCTGGTTCAGAAAATGATCCTTGAAGAGGACAAAACTTTCCACCGTAACATCTCAATGTGTTGGATAGAATGCAGAAAAGCTTGTGATTCTGTACTTCACGAATGGATTTTGAAGTCACTGGAATGTATTGACCAATCATTCTCTGAGGTGTTAGGTTAACAGTCACATGACCAACTCATCCTACCGGGTACCCATTCACTACTGGGTGAACAGAGTCAAAATTCGAACACCACATTTTTTAAATGTGCTTCACAGAGGGGCAGTCTTTGAAACTCTCGGGAGTCAAGCTGCCGGTCACACATCCATCTTTTCTCCTCCAACGACATTCCTTAACTTCATCTGTTTTGTGAATCTTGTGCTGTACATGGGCAGCCAAGATAGCTGAATATTCACATTAGACAAAACAAAGGCTGGCTGGCTACTCTACACACTCCGCTGATTTCAACGACACAGTCTGTAGTCGGAGTCTTATCTCATGTACAGCAAGAGCGGAAGGTCCCAGGTTCGATCCCCGGCCGCGTCATACAAAAAGACGTTAAAAGATTGTACTTGTTGTTACCCTGTCTGGCGCTCGACATTAAGGGGCTAAAACAAGGACTGGTCGGCTCGGAGTCAGTATACTGTGTCTGAGTGGGGTATTCATGTTAAACTGCGGCATGGTATCTCAGTGAGCTAGCACTATAAATCGGCATCAGTCCGGACTAGTACAAGCAGCTACACACACACATACACGTGCATGCACGTCGCTATATAAGTGCAATAATCTTGGACGCGACGTTAAACCCAATTTCACCTCACCTCATGTACAGCATGGAGTCCAGATCTGTGTTCTCCACGTTCGTTGACTGATTAAAAAGTTCAACTGACGCGACCTGCAATGGGGGTGTCCATAAATTGCTAATGATTGCTATGGAAATGTTTGTGAAAGTGTATCAAATTAAATGTGACTAATATGTATGTTCGAATATGTGAACTTAGTGCTGTGAATAAATGATTATGAATATGTATATTTTTTGTCGTTTTTACGATCTATACTGATTTTAACGTAATCCAGTGTCGGACGTCTTGCTTTAATATCAACTCGTTACAAATGCAACTAGTATTAACATTACGAACCTCCGTGGGTACGGCTCGTCTCGTATCCGACCTTCAGGCACACAGGGATCGTGCCGGAGGAAAATATCATATGATGGACATTTTGATAATACGCGTCTGCCTCACTTGACAGTGATATGACCGAGATCTGCAAGCCACTTTCTGGTTCCGACTCGAGGGATAAAATATTCATGCTTTTAATCAGCCGTTGGTCACATGAGATAACATGATTTGATCATGAGTAAGTGAAAACACGATGTCATGGCGGGTTCCGTTCTCCTGGTGATTTGCTGGGTATTCTGGCCTGTTGATAACCACGTGGAGATGGCACAAAACCACAGCTCGACATACAAACCACTTGAACCACTTGTAATGGTGATGTGACCAGGACGTGCCTGCTTCCGGAAACAGCCGCACGTATATCACACTCATTGGTATACCGCTGTGGGAGCGATAGATGACGTCATACGTGGGTTCAATAACCCGTCTTATACTCCGTGTAATACCCTCCTGATACCAGCCCAATATTGGTTAATTGATACCGGCCAGTAGTGGTTGACTGATACTTGTTTGTTGCTACCATCTCAATGCCGATTTACTGGTACTGGGGCATACAGGTTTTACTAATACCGTCCCAATACTTGTCTACTTTTACCGGCCCAATGCGAGAAAAGCAGAGTATTTGTAAACATAGAAACCTGTTATTGGTTTATACACAATATTATTTCAGAGTATTGAAATGACATTTCGAATGGGGCCAATGTATGCTAAACGATATCGCCCATGAATAGGACAGTATTGAAACAACAAAAGAACTGTACCAGCCAGTCATGGGACCAGTGTATGCCAAACGACATCGGTACACAACAAAAATATCTGAGCTATATGATATACAAGGTGGGCACTGGCCTAAATCAAGAGTACCAGTACAGGTGCGACCTCCCACTATACCAGTACTGGTGCGAGCTCCCACTATACCAGTACTGGTGCGACCTCCCACTATACCAGTACTGGTGCGAGCTCCCACTATACCAGTACTGGTGCGACCTCCCACTATACCAGTACTGGTGCGAGCTCCCACTATACCAATAATGGTGCGAGCCGCCACTATACCAGTACTGGTGCGACCTCCCACTATACCAGTACTGGTGCGAGCTCCCATTATACCAGTACTGGTGCGAGCTCCCACTATACCAGTACTGGCGCGAGCTCCCACTATACCAGTACCGGCGCCACCTCCCACTATACCAGTACTGGCGCGAGCTCCCACCATACCAGTACTCGTGCGAGCTCCCACTATACCAGTACGGGCGCGACCTCCCACTGTACCAGTAATGGTGCGAGCTCCCACTATACCAGTACTGGTGCGACCTCCCACTATACCAGTACTGGTGCGACCTCCCACTATACCAGTACTGGTGCGAGCTCCCACTATACCAGTACTGGTGCGAGCTCCCAATATACCAGTACGGGTGCGACCTCCCACTATTCCAGTACTGGTGCGAGCTCCCACTATACCAGTACAGTTGCGACCTCCCACTATACCAGTACGGGTGCGAGCCCCCACTATACCAGTACGGTTGCGAGCTCCCACTACACCAGTACGGTTGCGAGCTCCCACTATACCAGTACAGGTGCGACCTCCCACTATACCAGTACTGGTGCGACCTCCCACTATACCAGTACTGGTGCGAGCTCCCACTATACCAGTACTGGTGCGAGCCCCCACTATACCAGTACGGTTGCGAGCTCCCACTACACCAGTACGGTTGCGAGCTCCCACTATACCAGTACAGGTGCGAGCTCCCACTATACCAGTACGGGTGCGAGCTCCCACTATACCAGTACTGGTGCGAGCTCCCACTATACCAGTTAGACCTAACGTGTGTTTCCATCATGTTAGACCTAACGTGTGTTTCCATCATGTTAGACCTTCCGTGTGTTTCCATAATGTTAGACCTTCTGTGTGTTTCCATCATGTTAGACCTAACGTGTGTTTCCATCATGTTAGACCTTCTGTGTGTTCCCAACATTTAAGACCTTCTGTGTGTTTCCATCATGTTAGACCTTCTGTGTGTTTCCATCATGTTAGACCTTCTGTGTGTTTCCTTCATGTTAGACCTTCTGTGTGTTCCCAACATTTAAGACCTTCTGTGTGTTTCCATCATGTTAGACCTTCCGTGTGTTTCCTTCATGTTAGACCTTATGTTTGTTTTCATCATGTAAGACCTTCCGTGTGTTTCCATCATGTTAGACCTTCTGTGTGTTTCCATCATGTTAGACCTAACGTGTTTCCATCCTGTTAAACCTTCCGTGTGTGTTCCATCTTGTTAGACCTTCTGTGTGTTTCCATCATGTTAGACCTTCTGTGTGTTTCCACCATGTTCGACCTTCCGTGTGTGTTCCATCATGTTAGACCTTATGTGTGTTTCCATCATGTTAGACCTTATGTGTGTTTCGATCATGTTAAACTTTCCGTGTGTTTCCATCATGTTAGACCTTCCATCTGTTTCCATCATTTTAGGCCATCCGTGTGTTTCCATCATGTTAGACCTTATATGTGTTTCCATCAATTTAGACCTTCTGTGTGATTCCATCATTTTAGACCTAAGGTGTGTTTCCACCATGTTAGACCTTATGTGTGTTTCCATCATGTTAGACCTTCCGTGTGTTTCCATCAATTTAGACCTTCTGTGTGTTTCCATCATGTTAAACCTTATGTGTGTTTCCATCATGTTAGACCTTATGTGTGTTTCCATCACGTTAAACCTTATGTGTGTTTCCACCATGTTAGACCTTCCGTGTGTTTCCACCATGTTAGACCTTATGTGTGTTTCCATCATGTTAGACCTTATGTGTGTTTCTATCACGTTAAACCTTATGTGTGTTTCCACCATGTTAGACCTTCCGTGTGTTTCCACCATGTTAGACCTTATGTGTGTTTCCATCATGTTAGACCTTATGTGTGTTTCCATCACGTTAAACCTTATGTGTGTTTCCACCATGTTAGACCTTCCGTGTGTTTCCACCATGTTAGACCTTATGTGTGTTTCTATCATGTTAGACCTTATGTGTGTTTCCATCACGTTAAACCTTATGTGTGTTTCCATCATGTTAGACCTTCCGTGTGTTTCCACCATGTTAGACCTTATGTGTGTTTCCATCATGTTAGACCTTATGTGTGTTTCCATCATGTTAAACCTTATGTGTGTTTCCACCATGTTAGACCTTCCGTGTGTTTCCACCATGTTAGACCTTATGTGTGTTTCCATCATGTTAGACCTCATGTGTGTTTCCATCACGTTAAACCTTATGTGTGTTTCCATCATGTTAGACCTTCCGTGTGTTTCCACCATGTTAGACCTTATGTGTGTTTCTATCATGTTAGACCTTATGTGTGTTTCCATCACGTTAAACCTTATGTGTGTTTCCATCATGTTAGACCTTCCGTGTGTTTCCACCATGTTAGACCTTATGTGTGTTTCCATCATGTTAGACCTTATGTGTGTTTCCATCACGTTAAACCTTATGTGTGTTTCCATCATGTTAGACCTTCCGTGTGTTTCCACCATGTTAGACCTTATGTGTGTTTCTATCATGTTAGACCTTCTGAAATCATGAAACATATATATAGAATACTAAACGAGCTCCCGTGTAATACCAATTTTATGGAACGAGTGAAAACTTCTGGTATCTGGCTAGCGAAAGCGTGTCAGATACCACAACTATTCACGAGTTTCATAAAATTTGTTTTACACGGCAGCGAGTTTAGTATTTAATTTATTACTTGCCATTTATAACGTTTTCAGAATTTTACTGTTGAATGTGAATAAGCTGACACCTACACGATCCACGGCATAATCCAAAATGATCTCTTCACGGGCAAGTAATAAACAAAAAAGTGGCAGGCCTATTATGCATAGGCAACTTGGACAACCAAGTATTGTTTACACTGCAAACTATGGCCAAGAAACATATATGCTTATTTGCCCCACCATGTCATTCACAATAATCCTACCAAGTCTTGTTTACATTATATGCCTGAACCATGAAACACATATGCCCACTTGGCCTACCAAGTTTTTTTGTTTATACTACAGACTATGGCCAAGCAACACACATGCCTATCTGCCCTACCTTGTTTTGTTTAACATTATAGACTGAACCATAAAATGTATATGCGCAATGGGCTAACCATGTTCTGTCTATAATCATCAACTATCGCAGTGAAACACATTTGCATATTTGCCCTGCCATGTTTAATTTTCATTATTGATCAGCCGTGAAATAGCTGGAATATTGCTAAACACGGCGTAAAAACATACTCATGAATATCCTGATGTACGCGTTATTGCAATATGAAGTGTGTTATGAAATAATAAGATGTATGGAAACATGTAATATTATGTGTACATCACACTGCATCCACAGTGTTAAAGTCATTTATTGATATACGATCTGTTACCACACTAGTATATCCATGTTTCAATGCACTAAGCACATGCTGAAGTAAATTAAACAGAAATATTATAAATGTGTAACCTCCCATAAGTAATAGCCACCTCAAAAATAAACACATCAATCCACACATCAAAATAGTGTAAACACAACACGCCTCCATAAAACATAGTCATCCATACACAACAAATGCATAAATCAAAATTGAATAAATGCTCTTCAGCTCACAACAGTAAATTGATTTCCATACATCATTACAAACTGTACATATAACATAAAAACAACATACACAGGACCTTCTGTGTGTTTCCATCATGTTAGACCTAAGGTGTGTTTCCATCATGTTAGACCTTCCGTGTGTTTCCATCATGTTAGACCTAAGGTGTGTTTCCATCATGTTAGACCTTCCGTGTGTTTCCATCATGTTAGACCTTCCGTGTGTTTCCATCAGGTTAGACCTTCAGTGTGTTTCCATCATGTTAGACCTAACGTGTGTTTCCATCATGTTAGACCTTCTGTGTGTTTCCATCATGTTAGACCTTCTGTGTGTTTCCATCATGTTAGACCTTCCGTGTGTTTCCATCATGTTATACTTCCCGTGTGTTTCCATCATGTTAGACCTGACGTGTATTTCCATCATGTTAGACCTTCTGTGTGTTTCCATCATGTAAGACCTTCCGTGTGTTTCTATCATGTTAGACCTTCCGTGTGTTTCCATCAGGTTAGACCTTCAGTGTGTTTCCATCATGTTAGACCTAACGTGTGTTTCCATCATGTTAGACCTTCTGTGTGTTTCCATCATGTTAGACCTTCCGTGTGTTTCCATCATGTTAGACCTTCCGTGTGTTTCTATCATGTTATACTTCCCGTGTGTTTCCATCATGTTAGACCTGACGTGTATTTCCATCATGTTAGACCTTCTGTGTGTTTCCATCATGTAAGACCTTCCGTGTGTTTCTATCATGTTAGACCTTCTGTAAGTGATAAACGCCTGATACCCGAGTTTCGTCTCCAGATCAGTAAGTCGTGTGTACATTGTACAAGTTTCAGGTCTCCAGATCAGTAAGTCGTGTGTACATTGTACAAGTTTCAGGTCTCCAGATCAGTAAGTTGTGTGTACATTGTACAAGCTTCAGGTCTCCAGATCAGTAAGTTGTGTGTACATTGTACAAGTTTTAGGTCTCCAGATCAGTAAGTTGTGTGTACATTGTACAAGTTTCAGGTCTCCAGATCAGTAAGTCGTGTGTACATTGTACAAGTTTCAGGTCTCCAGATCAGTAAGTTGTGTGTACATTGTACAAGCTTCAGGTCTCCAGATCAGTAAGTTGTGTGTACATTGTACAAGTTTTAGGTCTCCAGATCAGTAAGTTCTGTGTACATTGTACAAGTTTCAGGTCTCCAGATCAGTAAGTTGTGTGTATATTGTACAAGTTTCAGGTCTCCAGATCAGTAAGTTCTGTGTACATTGTACAAGCTTCAGGTCTCCAGATCAGTAAGTTGTGTGTATATTGTACAAGTTTCAGGTCTCCAGATCAGTAAGTTGTGTGTATATTGTACAAGTTTCAGGTCTCCAGATCAGTAAGTTCTGTGTACATTGTACAAGTTTCAGGTTTCCAGATCAATAAATCGTGTGTACATTGTACAAGTTTCAGGTCTCCAGATCAGTAAGTTGTGTGTACATTGTACAAGTTTCAGGTTTCCAGATCCAGCGGGGTTAAACATCCCTTTGAACAGTATTTCGAACTGCGCACCTCAAACGACTGAGCCACCCGTGCTCCACACTGGACGATGCAGTGGATGAAGTAACCACCGGGTGATGAAGGAGGTCTGATTTTCTAGCCTCGTTTGAAACAAAGCATGGAAAGTACAAACATATAATGAACGTCCATATGGCTTTAAGGGCAAGTTCATTCAGCAATGAGGGGCACAGGTGGCCCAGTCGCTTAGGCGGCGCAATTCACTGTGCAGAGTTGCGTCCCTTGAGAATGCCAGAAACCAGTTATTGTGGGTTCAAACCCTGGTTGCGCCGATTTGGTTTCTAAGTTTCTCAGCATCATACCCGTGGTTGTGGGTTTCACCCAAGTGGTAAACGTCTGAGACCTACATCACCTCGTGATTTCCTCCCACATTAAACTGACACGCCGTGATATAACCAGAACACCAGCCGAGGCAAACTGTGAGCTCTGGTGCTGCTGGGGGCCTCTGTGTGTGTGTGTGTGTGGAGTGGTGTGTGTAAGTGTGTGTGTGTGTGTGTGTGGCGTGGTGTGTGTGTGTGGGTGGGGGGGGGGGGGGGGGGGGGGGTGTTTGTAAGTGTGTGTGGCGTGGTGTGTGTGTGGGGGTGGGGGGTGTTTGTAAGTGTGTGTGTGGTGTGTGTGTGTGTGTAAGTGTGTGTGTAAGTGTGTGACGCCCCAAGCGACATGCCACCTATCTTGCATGTTAAGTCTCAGCTTCTTTATAGATAGACCTGTGAAGATCCGGGGTAGAATAGGTCTTCAGCAACCCATGCTTGCCGTAAAAGGCGACTATGCTTGTCGTAACAGGCGACTAACGGGATTGGGTGGTCAGGCTCGCTGACTTGGTTGAAGCGTGTCATGATCCCAATTGCGTGGATCGACGCTCATGATAACAATCACTGGATTGTCTGGTCCAGACTCGATTATTTACAGACCGCCGTCATATAGCTAGAATAATGCTGAGTGTTGCGTAAATCAACCAACCAACCAACTTTATAAATAGATAAGCATGAATGTCAATAAGATAAACTCTGTGTAAATCACGGCCACTCCAATGTTAACGGTCACTCTGTTAATTTCATCACTAGCATTTATAAACTGTACAGGCATGTGAGCGGCAGAGAGACATGGGGAGTGGCAGTCGATACACGTGACCCGAGCGAAGTTTCCAGGCTACACGCACTCGGATTCCCATACTGTGGCGGGCGTCATGTTCTAATTATAGCAGACATGTGAGCCAACTGCATTATGGGTATGAACCATTTGGCGACGAAACGTGAAGTGTGTGTGACGTCACTAACATCTATTTAGCCGCCATATTGGGCTTCACATTTAGAGTCTTGCACACGACCCACAAAAACGAAGATTTGTGGACTTTCAACCGGGACATTTAAGCGTGAATTGTTCTTACATGAGTGAAGTTGGGTGTTAATACACTTTCCCGTAGTTGGCAACTCCGCTAGAAGTGAAGTGTACATCGTAATTTGCCTGTCTGAGCCCGCAGTCTGTCTACAGAACAAAGAGAGGCCACTTTATGCATTTCAAGTTCGTGTACCATCGTCGTTCAACTTGGAAAGTGAAAATGTGTGTCATGCACAGATTTTGTGTCGTCTGCTACTGTCTGTGTCTGCTATGTTCCCAATGCAGATCGGATGAGGATGCCAGCAGGAATCACTTGTCTAATTCCACGCAGACGGGAGCTTCGAAACCACGTGACCAACACGTGAAAAACGTGAGTCGCCATCATATACACAAACATGACAACATTGAAACCTATGGAAATAACTCCTTACGAGAGGGTTTGTATTTTGCGAGAAAAGTATTCCAAAAGTTTGGAAAAGAGGATGAACTCACAATTGTAAGTTTCAAAAAACTTCTTGATGATTTGGAAATATTTTCATCAGAACAAAACAATTCCCATGTTCACCATGATCATATCAATAACAATGAGAATCATAATCATAATGACGTCCAACACAGTAGTGAACCAAAGACAGAACACAATCATGATATAGAAAATCACAAACACGATGAAGATGCAGATAAAACTGCAGTGGATGGTCACGAGCATGTGGATCATTCCGGTATTTTTCCAGATGGACCAACCACCAATAAAACAGTGCCACATGAAAGTGAGAGACGTGATGATATTCAAGGGGAAATGGTGAAAAGAGATGTGACGGCCCATCATGAGGGGGATCACACGGACTGTCTAGATTCAAGAAAGCTGCTAGATATTTATCATTTAGCAAATAAGAAAAGTTTGACTTTGGAGCAGTTCCTCCATATCTCCCCTGCCGTGATCTATCAGCTGGACAACCCTGGTTGCCGGACCGCTGGCCACCGGGCCACTGGCCACCCTGCACACACCATGGAGGTGATCGGCTTCACCGAGATTCCTGCTGCAGTGTGGGGGTACAGCACCCTGGCCGTGGTCATCATCAGTCTGGTTGGCCTCCTTGGTGTGGCCGTCATCCCAATCATGCAGAAAGTCTTTTATAACCATATGTTGCAGTTCCTCATAGCGCTGGCCGTTGGTACCTTGACTGGGGATGCGTTGTTGCATCTTCTTCCTCATGCAATTATTGGACACCGTCTGCATAACCATGACAACCACGGTGCTGAAGAAAATGGTTTGAACAGTGAGGATATGCATAAGACCGCAGTATTTAAGGGATTGTGTGGTCTTGCAGGGATGTTTTTCTTTTTTGTGATGGAAAGGATCTTGACAATAGTCACTAACATTAAAAGGAAACGAAAGCTAAACACCAGAAGGACTTTGTCTGCCAAACAAAAAACAGTCTGTAAGGATGATAGGAGCCACATTGCCAAAAAACTTTCTGCCTATGATGAACCAGATTATCAGTCATGTGAAGAAATGGTCATGGTTGTTCATCCAAACAAGTCCCTGAAGGGCTTTGCTGATGAAACCCATCATAAAGTATTTCATACCAACCATGACAGTTGTCGACCCAAAGAAGACGAACACTCCCATTCCAATCCCAAGAGTGCTGAAGAAGAGGGCATGCTGTCATCTCTCCCACATTCCCACAGCGGCCATTCACACCACGGACATTGTGAAATGTTGAGCAACTCTGTGGCGTCCATTGCCTGGATGGTCATCCTTGGGGACGGCATCCACAACTTCAGTGACGGCCTGGCTATCGGAGCTGCCTTCGCTAACAGCATCACTGGTGGCTTCAGCACTGCCGTCGCTGTCTTTTGTCATGAACTTCCACACGAGATCGGGGACTTCGCCGTGTTGTTGAGGGCGGGCATGTCAGTCAAGCAGGCTGTGGTCTATAACTGTGTCTCCTCCCTGCTCTGTTTTGTTGGTATGCTCATCGGTGTTGCCATTGGCAACATTCATGAAGCTTCAGAATGGATTTTCGCATGTGTTGCAGGAATGTTCATATATATTGCTACCGTGGACATGTTGCCGGAAATGACATCCGTGGACACGAAGCAAGGGGAGCACCCGTTCTGTCATCTCTTCCTGCAGTGCTTCGGGATGCTTCTCGGGGCAGGAATAATGCTCCTCATCGCCTTCTACGAAGATGACCTGCTCACTGTTCTGGGTGGCTAGGCAAGATTGAACTTTGTGATGGGTTCCAAATGCAATGATTTGATCATGTTGTCCAGTGCAACGATAGGCAAAGAATTTGTTATACCTGTTCTATAAAAAGAAACTGCAGCTTAGTTTCGGCGAAAAATGATAATTTTCATTTATTTGATTAGAATGATAGCAATGTTCTCATTAGCTGAAGTAAGAGGTGTTTTGTGTCTTTGTAGTATGAATCACGGTTCCTCTGTTCTGTCTGTTCTTGCTGTGTACTGGGGAATCCTGACTTTGGGTTCCTGAAACTGCCATGGTAATGACCATGTCACGGTCAACACAAGCTACTCAATCCTTGGCCCATCTGGTCCACAGCATCATAAAATTATTTTTGTTTAACAGAAATGTATAAAAAAAATATTGCTGCAAATGCAGAAATTCACTTATGACTTGTACCAAATGCCTGTGTGGTACAGTGGAATCTTCTTCAATTTGAACTTGGGAACTCAGCACACTATGTTCCACAGGACTTCAAGTTGTTGATGTTGCAGTTTATTCCATGGTTTAAACCAGCTGAGCTACTGAATAGAGCTTCAGACAGCAAGGACGTATTGATGATGGTTGAAACTGATGTTATAATTAAAACTGGTTCTGAATGTCTGATACCTGCATGTCAAAATTAAAATTTACAGGAATGTGATCAAATTGGTAATGTAGGACTTAGATAAGTTGAAGTATTCTTTCAGGTTCAGTTGTTGGTAATAGACAATAGGATTATATTCCCAAACTGTTTATTCTGTGGAGTCAAATATTGTAATTGTCTTCAGCTCCGGCAATAATTGTACATCTGTTACAAGAGAAATTGCCATCCTCATTGGCCGCTGTGTATGTCATCTGATTATTACCCGCATTTCAGGTTTTTAAGCCTCATATTAACTATGGTTGACCAGATCATCTCCAATAATACTGTGGGCTGTGCCTGATGTAAACTATTTAAAACAAATTGTTTAATGGAATCAGCTGAACCTGATATTGAAAAGTGAAAGATTAGATCTGAAAAAAAAATCAAAGAAAAACTAATGTAAAAATCTGCAAACTAAAAGATACAAAGTCTGGCCTTAGCAGAAAAGTAGCACTTTAGTGTCAGCCTCAGGTTTACGCCAGAGCAGACCCTTGGTACATTAGATAGTGCAAGAGAATGAAAGAAGAGAATTGTGCAGTGTGTGTGTGACTGGTTATGTATTAGATATATAAGAGAATGAAAGAAGAGAATTGTGCAGTGTGTGTGTGACTGGTTATGTATTAGATATATAAGAGAATGAAAGAAGAGAAATGTGCAGTGTGTGTGACTGGTTATGTATTAGATATATAAGAGAATGAAAGAAGAGAAATGTGCAGTGTGTGTGTGACTGGTTAAGTATTTGATATATTAGAGAATGAAAGAAGAAATATGCAGTGTGTGTGTGACTGGTTAAGTATTAGATATATAAGAGAATGAAAGAAGAAATGTGCAGTGTGTGTGTGACTGGTTATGTATTAGATATATAAGAGGAAAGGTGTTGAGCTGTTCGCTGCTAAATTACACGTGGCGAAGGAGCCTGTGAATCAGCAGTATTTTCATGAACCTGAATATCAGGTACATGTTATTGGACAGCAATTCTTGTCTTCTAGTTTTATTGTTTCATGTACATATATGCAATGTCTCCACACCCTTGTCTGTCTGTCTGTCAGCTCATTTCGGTCCTGTGTTTTTTTAAAATAATCAGAATTGGGGATAAAACATCCAGTCAGTCTAGATTAGTACTAGTCTTGGACTAATGGGCTAGTGGGCGTCTCTAGCCTTGAGTTTGGGTTACTGAGATTTGCCTCAGTGTTCACAGTGGTTCATATTTGGCCCAGGTCCACAGGAAACGTTAGCAATAATCTCAAATTGGAATAAAATACTTCCCATTTCAGGTATCAGATTTGTAACTGATGTTTTAGATGCACATTAGACTTGTATTTCCCTGCAAACAGAATCCATGCGGATGAGAAGGTTTACTGCCTTGTTTCACATTTCTCTATTGAGTGCATCATTGAGAATTTATATGTGAATTTAATGATTTTCCAAAATATGGACAGAATAATGATTCTTTATTCACACATGATCTTTCAGGTCAGTTTCAGTCCAGCTCAGTCTATCTACAGCCATATTGTCCATCTCTAGATGTGTCATGCTGACTGACGTTCATCTGTCCTAGCCATTAACATTTACAATTTATCGGAAATCACAATGTTGAGGAATGTCAAACTTTGCAAGCTTTAACATCTGCTCAGCAGCCATATTGAAACTTATGTATTTTCTCCTTATTCATGCTGCCATTTTGGTGTGCATCATTGTGAAATTTGATGTGCAGTCAATTTGTGATATGTTCAGAACTAGAATATGTTTTTTGGCATATTGATTCTTCTGCCTGCTGTTGCCCTGGACTCTCACACAGCTGTTTACCTTGGCTGACTGCATGTTTCTCTTCTCTAAGCAATGGTGTAAGAATGGATCTAATTGTGGTAAAAACATTAAACATGGCTGCTACTTCATATTGTTATTTTTGCCCATGATTATGCAATGTTTCTTGTGTATTGTGCTCGGTCCAACCTGACTTGGGCACTCTTCTCAGTTTTCATAAATCGATATATATTGACCTTGTATCCAGTGAAAACATCTGTTGAAAACAACCATATCCTGGACACCTTCATGTACAGGACACCTCCATGTACAGGACATCTCCATGTACAGGACACCACCATGTACAGGACACCACCATGTACAGGACACCTCCCATGTACAGGACACCTCCCATGTACAGGACACCACCATGTACAGGACACCTCCATGTACAGAACACCACCATGTACAGGACACCTCCATGTACTGGACACCTCCATGTACAGGACACCACCATGTACAGGACACCACCATGTACAGGACACCTCCATGTACAGGACACCTCCATGTACAGGACAATCCCCTGTACAGGACACCTCCATGTACTGGACACCTCCATGTACAGGACACCTCCATGTACAGGACTCCACCATGTACAGGACACTCCCCTGTACAGGACACTCCCCTGTACAGGACACCTCCATGTACAGGACACCTCCATGTACAGGACACCTCCACCTAAAGGACACCACCTTGTACAGGACACCTCCATGTACTGGACACCTCCATGTACAGGACACCTCCATGTACAGGACACTCCCCTGTACAGGACACCACCATGTACAGGACACCTCCATGTACTGGACACCTCCATGTACAGGACACCTCCATGTACAGGACACTCCCCTGTACAGGACACCTCCATGTACAGGACACCTCCATGTACAGGACAATCCCCTGTACTGGACACCTCCATGTACAGGACACCTCCATGTACTGGACACCTCCATGTACAGGACACCTCCATGTACAGGACACCACCATGTACAGGACACCACCATGTACAGGACACTCCCCTGTACAGGACACCACCATGTACAGGACACTCCCCTGTACAGGACACCTCCATGTACAGGACACCTCCATGTACAGGACACCTCCATGTACAGGACACCACCTTGTACAGGACACCTCCATGTACTGGACACCTCCATGTACAGGACACCTCCATGTACAGGACACTCCCCTGTACAGGACACCTCCATGTACAGGACACCACCATGTACAGGACACCTCCATGTACAGGACACCACCATGTACAGGACACCACCATGTACAGGACACAACCATGTACAGGACACCTCCATGTACAGGACAATCCCCTGTACAGGACACCTCCATGTACAGGACACCTCCATGTACAGGACACCACCATGTACAGGACACCACCATGTACAGGACACTCCCCTGTACAGGACACCACCATGTACAGGAGACTCCCCTGTACAGGACACAACCATGTACAGGACACCTCCATGTACTGGACACCTCCATGTACAGGACACCTCCATGTACAGGACACTCCCCTGGACAGGACACCTCCATGTACAGGACACCACCATGTACATGACACCACCATGTACAGGACACCTCCATGTACAGGACAATCCCCTGTACAGGACACCTCCATGTACAGGACACCACCATGTACATGACACCACCATGTACAGGACACCTCCATGTACAGGACAATCCCCTGTACAGGACACCTCCATGTACAGGACACCTCCATGTACAGGACACCACCATGTACAGGACACCACCATGTACAGGACACTCCCCTGTACAGGACACCACCATGTACAGGACACCTCCCCTGTACAGGACACCACCATGTCCTGGACACCTCCACCTACAGGACACCTCCATGTACAGGACACCTCCATGTACAGGACACCTCCGTGTACAGGACACCACCATGTACAGGACACCACCATGTACAGGACACCTCCGTGTACAGGACACCACCATGTACAGGACACCTCCGTGTACAGGACACCACCATGTACAGGACACCTCCGTGTACAGGACACCACCATGTACAGGACACCTCCGTGTACAGGACACCACCATGTACAGGACACCACCATGTACAGGACACCTCCGTGTACAGGACACCACCATGTACAGGACACCACCATGTACAGGACACCTCCGTGTACAGGACACCACCATGTACAGGACACCTCCATGTACAGGACATCACCATGTACTGGACACCTCCCATGTACAGGACACCTCCATATACTGGACAAACCCGTGTACAGGACAACACTATGTCCTGGACACCTCCACCTACAGGACACCTCCATGTACAGGACACTCCCCTGTACAGGACACCACCATGTACAGGACACCTCCGTGTACAGGACACCACCATGTACAGGACACCTCCATGTACAGGACATCACCATGTACTGGACACCTCCCATGTACAGGACACCTCCATATACTGGACACCTCCATGTACAGGACACCTCCATGTACAGGACACCTCCATGTATGTTTGTATTGCTTCTTTATTTATTTGGATGTCAGTCGATTTATAGGCTTGAAAAGAATGAAAATTAGTGCATTGATTCTGCAATTTTCCTGAAAACTGGATGCTACATTTTCTGTGAATTCCCCTGGGACTGACCATGTACCGGACACTGGAGGGATGGTGGGGGGAGGAGAGTTTGTCCATGTTATTGTGACCATCGTTTCATCTTCACTGTCCCCAGGCAAGCCTTTGTTCCTGACTGCCAGGTGGATCTGAACATGTGATGAAGTCCTTTGTGGTAAGGCCTGGGCATGGTCAGGAGGTAGTGTTCGTGATGACAGTCATCATCTTCCTGAGGCAAGGGAGTTAACCAACTATAAGTCCAGTTTCCACCCTTGCCAAACTAGCCTGGAATTCTGGAGTTACATTTTTACTGGAGTAACGAGTCTATGCTGAGTCCAGTTGAAATCACGTAACAAACTAGACATCCTGTTCGTAAACAACATGGATTTCAACGTGCTGATTTCAATCGACTGCAGGATTTGCAAAGCATGTGTACAGCCAGCTGGGCACAGACATATATTTTGCAACTCTTTTCATGTTTTTAATCAACCCGTGAAGATCCGGGATAGAATAGGTCTTCAACAACCCATGCTTGTCGTAAAAGGCAACTATGCTTGTCGTAAGAGGCAGCTAACGGGATCGGGTAGTCAGGCTTGCTGACTTGGTTGATACTTGTCATTGTATCATAATTGCGTGGATCGAGGCTCATGATGTCGATCACTCGATTGTCTGGTCCAGACTCAATTATTTACAGACCGCCGTCATATAGCTAGAATGTTGCTAAGTGTGGCGTTAAACAACAAACAAACAAAACATGTTTTCAATCAAGGTGCTCGAGTGATTTTATGCACTTCAGGGGGTAAGACCCGTTTTATTACAATTATCGATCAGATTGTCTTACTACCATTTTGTTTGAAGCAAATACAAGTGATATGAGAGATGGAATCTGATTGGATAACTGGAGCCGAGACAAAACTTGTCATAACCACTGGTGGCGCTACAAACGAGCCTGGCAATTCCACTCTATTCCGGTAAGGTTGGAAACTGGACTTTTAAAGTCAGTTAACTCCCTTGCCTCAGGAAGATGGAGAGCTATGTGGTAGCCATGTTACAGCTGCATGGGTGGTCAGGAGATGGTGTTATTGATGACAGCTATGTTACAGCTGTTTGTGGTCAGTAGGTGGTGTTATTGATGACAGCCATGTTTCAGCTGTGTGGGTGTGGTCAGGAGATGGTGTTAGTGATGACAGCCATGTTACAGCTGTGTGTGTGGTCAGCATGTGTTAGTGATGACAGCCATGTGTGTGTGTGGTCAGCATGTGTTAGTGATGACAGCCGTGTGTGTGTGTGTGGTCAGCATGTGTTAGTGATGACAGCCATGTGTGTGTGTGGTCAGCATGTGTTAGTGATGACAGCCGTGTGTGTGTGTGTGGTCAGGATGTGTTAGTGATGACAGCCATGTGTGTGTGTGGTCAGCATGTGTTAGTGATGACAGCCATGTGTGTGTGTGTGGTCAGCATGTGTTAGTGATGACAGCCATGTGTGTGTGTGGTCAGCATGTGTTAGTGATGACAGCCATGTGTGTGTGTGTGGTCAGCATGTGTTAGTGATGACAGCCATGTGTGTGTGTGGTCAGCATGTGTTAGTGATGACAGCCGTGTGTGTGTGTGTGGTCAGGATGTGTTAGTGATGACAGCCGTGTGTGTGTGTGTGGTCAGCATGTGTTAGTGATGACAGCCATGTGTGTGTGTGGTCAGCATGTGTTAGTGATGACAGCCATGTGTGTGTGTGTGGTCAGGATGTGTTAGTGATGACAGCCGTGTGTGTGTGTGGTCAGGATGTGTTAGTGATGACAGCCATGTGTGTGTGTGGTCAGCATGTGTTAGTGATGACAGCCATGTGTGTGTGTGGTCAGCATGTGTTAGTGATGACAGCCATGTGTGTGTGAGTGTGTGTGTGTGGTCAGGATTTGTTAGTGATGACAGCCATGTGTGTGTGTTGTCAGGATGTGTTAGTGATGACAGCCATGTGTGTGTGAGTGTGTGTGTGTGGTCAGTAGACGGTGTTAGTGATGACAGCCATGTGTGTGTGTGGTCAGTAGACGGTGTTAGTGATGACAGCAATGTGTGTGTGTTGTCAGGATGTGTTAGTGATGACAGCCATGTGTGTGTGTGTGTGGTCAGCATGTGTTAGTGATGACAGCCGTGTGTGTGTGTGGTCAGCATGTGTTAGTGATGACAGCCGTGTGTGTGTGTGGTCAGGATGTGTTAGTGATGACAGCCGTGTGTGTGTGTGGTCAGGATGTGTTAGTGATGACAGCCAAGTGTGTGTGTGTGGTCAGCATGTGTTAGTGATGACAGCCATGTGTGTGTGTGTGGTCAGCATGTGTTAGTGATGACAGCCATGTGTGTGTGTGGTCAGCATGTGTTAGTGATGACAGCCATGTGTGTGTGTGGTCAGCATGTGTTAGTGATGACAGCCATGTGTGTGTGTGTGGTCAGCATGTGTTAGTGATGACAGCCATGTGTGTGTGTTGTCAGCATGTGTTAGTGATGACAGCCATGTGTGTGTGTGTGGTCAGCATGTGTTAGTGATGACAGCCATGTGTGTGTGTGGTCAGCATGTGTTAGTGATGACAGCCATGTGTGTGTGTGGTCAGCATGTGTTAGTGATGACAGCCATGTGTGTGTGATGTCAGCATGTGTTAGTGATGACAGCCATGTGTGTGTGTGTGGTCAGCATGTGTTAGTGATGACAGCCATGTGTGTGTGTGTGTGGTCAGCATGTGTTAGTGATGACAGCCATGTGTGTGTGTGGTCAGGATGTGTTAGTGATGACAGCCATGTGTGTGTGTGGTCAGGATGTGTTAGTGATGACAGCCATGTGTGTGTGTGGTCAGGATGTGTTAGTGATGACAGCCATGTGTGTGTGTGGTCAGCATGTGTTAGTGATGACAGCCATGTGTGTGTGTGTGTTGTCAGCATGTGTTAGTGATGACAGCCGTGTGTGTGTGTGTGGTCAGCATGTGTTAGTGATGACAGCCATGTGTGTGTGTGGTCAGCATGTGTTAGTGATGACAGCCATGTGTGTGTGTGTGGTCAGCATGTGTTAGTGATGACAGCCATGTGTGTGTGTGTGGTCAGCATGTGTTAGTGATGACAGCCAAGTGTGTGTGTGTGGTCAGCATGTGTTAGTGATGACAGCCAAGTGTGTGTGTGGTCAGCATGTGTTAGTGATGACAGCCATGTGTGTGTCTGGTCAGTAGACGGTGTTAGTGATGACAGCCAAGTGTGTGTGTGTGTGTTGTCAGGATGTGTTAGTGATGACAGTTTTATGTAAGAAATCAAAGAAATCCGAGTTCATGAATAATTGACACTTCAAAGCAAAGATTCTGCACTTGGTATATCAGTCACTTTATCTGCATCCTATGGTAAAAGTAAGATATCTGAAGTTTAAAATGTCTTAATTTTATTGAACAATATTTATATTTTTCCAAAAGTGAGCAAAAGTTTTCAATATTAATACATGGATACTTGTCCATGGGAAAGGGGGAGTATTACTTGGGTCTTGTTACTAATACATTTAAAATGAATTTCATTTTGTTGAATTCATGTTTTACTTAACCACAGACTCCAAATTTCAGTTGTTTCAGAAATATTAGGTAGGGAAAGCAGTGTCTGCAGATCTGTGAATATAGTTGGCAGTGTCTGTAGATCTGTGAATATAGTTAGCAGTGTCTGCAGACCTCTGAATATAGTTGGCAGTGTCTGCAGATCTGTGAATATAGTTGGCAGTGTCTGCAGACCTGTGAATATAGTTGGCAGTGTCTGCAGACCTGTGAATATAGTTGGCAGTGTCTGCAGACCTGTGAATGTAGTTGGCAGTGTCTGCAGATCTGTGAATGTAAATCATTCAAAATGTGAAGCTCCCCACTTATGTGAGAATAATTCTTGTCAAATTAATATGAACCTGGTTATTAGTCATTTGTTGTGTCAGACACAACTGCAACAGCCTTATATTGCTTAGTTTTATCCCAGGGTATATTGTGTTTGTCCTTGGAGCCGATGTCTCACTTGGTCTCCTCGGTGGAGGAACTATGCTAGAACACTG